CTAGACCCGCCTCGGGGAACAATGAGCGGGCTCGCGTCTACCCAGCCCCAGCCGGCTTCACCCCGGGCTCCTGGGGCGGCCGCGAGCAGCACGTGTCCAGCGCCCTCACCTCCCCACCCGTGGAGAAGCGACGCCCAGGGAAGCTGCGGCCCTGCCCGGCGCCCTTATCCCGAGCGTGGGGGGAGCGGACGTCGGGCGTTCAGGGGCAGGGAGGATCAGATTGGGGGTGGGACACTGAGGAGCAGGTGGGGGGCCTAAAGGAATAGATCGGAGGTAAGGGATGGAGGATTAACTTGGGGGGGTGCCGGAGCAGGCTGGGGTGCCCAAGGGGGCGAGGGAGCAGGTGGAAGAGGGGAGTAGGCTCGAGGGAGAAGCCGATCAAAGCATATTCAAGACAGCAGCCTACTCCTAGAGGTAGTTGGGACTTGCTGCAGCGCGTGCACAGCATGATGCTCCCAACCAGCGACTCTCCGCCTCTAGGGACAATTAATTTTTTCTCTCTTGCCTGAGCCTGTTAGGTGTAAGTCTCAAACCACTTGCAGCTTCCCCCTCTCTTAAAAAACCCAACCAACCACCAAAGAATCGGCTGGTGAACTGCTGTCCCCGGTATGAAATAATCAGCATAATGGAAATAAAAGAGGCTGTAGTGCAAGGGAGGGTGGAAGAACAGATGAGCACTTTTGTTACATTGCACTGCAGTGTGTGTGGATGACTGTAGAATTACAAACACACCTGCAGCCTAGATGGGTGGCTTCCCCCTCTCGCTGGAAGAGTAGCAATTATTTTTATTTAGATGGCGTAGGGATGAGGACCCCAGTCACTAGACTATGACTCCACAGTGGCAAGCCTGTATAAACACAAAGAAATGGGCCCTATATCCAGAGCCAGCCTTTGGGTATGGCAAATCGTGGTAACTGTTCCAGGGCCCATGCTTCAGTGTGTGTTGTGCAGGGGGTGCTAGGCCAGCTCAGGGGGAGTGGGGTTAGGGGTGCCTGGGGGGCCAGGCCAGCCCAAGGGCTGGGGTTAGGGGGCCAGACCAGCCCAGGTGGCTAGCAGAGGGCCTGACACCAGCAGCAGAGGTCAGGCCCACACTGAGCGACAGGAAGCGCGTGTTGTATTTCTTTTGCGGCCTTGGGCTCAGCCTCCAGCAACGGCAGCAGTGACCCCAGCCCACTTGCCCGCCACCACACCAGCCACCAGCATCCCACTGTGGCCAGAACACGCCAGTGCCAGGCTCACACCATCCATTGCCCTTCTGCCCCAGAGTCCTCCCATTTCTGGGACCCCCCAGCACAGGGGCCACCCTGTGACTCTACATTGTCTCTCACCCCCCAGCACTGGTGTCCCTCCCCACACCAGATTTCATCTGTATAAAAAATGTTAAGGGGGGCCCATACAGGCTGATTTGTCCCGGGCCCTGCACTCTGGTGTATAATTGAGACACAGAGACCATAACACCCCTCCAGGTCTATTTACCATTATTTGAGACACATCAAGTCTAAAAAAGAATTAGGAATAAAATGAGAGTTCATGGAAGGGATAGATAATGGGATAGAGAGCCTTTCTGCTCAAAGCTGCTAGTTTGAATTCACCACCTGTCAAAAATGACCGAAATCTCTACGTGCTGTTGGCAAGTCAGAAGCGACCGTAAAATAAGTTGGTGTTCTCAGTCCTCATGAATAATGTCCACATCACATAACTAGGTCACTACTCCTGACAGTGGTAGTGGCAGGAGAGATACAAAGCCCTGAACAGAGCTGAAGTCTAAACTCTTCTCCCCTCTGGCAGAGGTCCCTTTAAGTCACGTTTGAGACACAAGCACAGCCAATAGCAAAGCTTGCATGAGCCGTAGCTGTGGTGGTGCTGTTCTGTAAGTAAATAAAAGGGTTTCAGGCTCCAGCATTGTCAAGCTTTCAGATCACACTAACACACAAACAAAGCAATTAAGTTAAAAAAACGAAGAAGAAAGAAGGTCCAGCAATAAGTCTCCTACAGGTGTTATTTCAGAATATGAAGAACCTGGTTACCTAGGAAATCACAGATAATTAAAAGACAGACAAAGATTATAAAAAATGTAATATTTTATAAGAAAACAGATGGTATTTAAATGATGTAAGAATGGTGGTGCTTTCATTTTAAGAAATATGCTTAATGTTTTTGATAATTATAATTTCAGTGTTAATTGGTGCATTGTAATTTTTTACTGAAGTGCTCAGACTTATTACTTATAATTATATTTGAAGGACTTAAAAGTGTGTTACAACTGGAAGTTTGCAAATGTATATAAGAAAAGGAAAAATGACTTACTGGTAATTCTGAATGTCACAATCTCTTCTCTATGGATAGCAGATTACAGAACAGACTATTATAATGCTACCACGAGAGAAGCAAGGAATGTGAAAAGCTCTGAAACCCTATTGCTGGTTATTATAAGATTGACCAAGAACAATCTCTCCAGCTAGAGAAATATAGAAAGAAACAGCCTACAAGAAAATAAAATAAGCAGCACACACCAGCCAACAAGGAGGATGGTATGATGTAGGGTAGAAGAGAGAGAGTGAGACAAACAATTAAAGATAAGTAAATTTTCTCTTGTTGTACATACTTTGTTCTTTCCTCCTACGACAGTGGATTAAAAGGACAGACAGTTTATTAGCAAATAGTAATCCTGGGAGGCAAAACTGCCAAATTCTGCTGCTGACAAGAACCTGCAGCCAAAGAAGGCACCCTGAGAAGCAGAGAGGCCCAGTTGATAGTGACATAAAAAGGAATGAAGAGATGATCGTGGTCATTGCTTTACACACCTTGGAAATTAGTGCCTTAGCATGCAGTCTATAAAGGGGCAGCTTCTCTAGCCAAACAACATCTGACAGGCTACCAGACTGGTCAAACCCTGTGAGAATGCAGTCTCAGACCCACATAGCAACAGTGACTTGTTCTTGTAACCCTCAAAGCAAGGAAACAGTTACCTTAATTTTTGAAGTTCTGAGAACAGGGATGATAAAACTTGAGAACCTGCTTACATCCACCAAATGCAGCCTCTTGGCATTGTGTGGTGGGGAAAATACCAGATTTGGATAGAGAAAGGAAGTGCTAAGACTAAATTGTTCAGGCAAAATTGACTATCCACTTGGGAACAAGTTCTGGAGAAAGCCAAAACAACAAAAATGCCCTTCTGTAAAGAGAGAAGAATAAGGGAGAGAGATTATGAGAATTTGATTTACTCACTCGTTTGGCTTAGGTCACTGCAATAAGTAGGGCCATCTTAAAGGAAAGAAGTCTACCGTAAAGGCTCAAATTTGGGATACATCAGAAACTGGGAGAGGAGGATCAAGTTCTGCTGAGGGATTGCTCGATGAATCACTTGCCTTTGAGACCCTTCTTGAACAGGGACAAAGAAATGCAAAGCTTACTAGGGTGAGCAAGATAAGACAGTAATGCTCCTGGTGCCACACCAGACCATGAAGATCTTCCAGATGTGAGAGTAAATGTAAGATGTAGAAGGACTTTCCACTGCTCCCCAGACAGTCTGGAACTTCAGTGGAGAAATCCTCATTAAAGGAACTGCTCTGTTCAATTTGCAGGAGCCAAGCGGATAAGAAGGTGGTTGCAGAACACATGGGTGGCTTTTGGGAGATACCACAACTTATTTCCCCCCCAGTATAAAAGAAGTAGCCTGGCCCAAGGAAGCTGTATTCAAACCACACTGAAGGAGAGCATAGTTGAAGGAGCTCTGTAGAGCCAAACAATGAACATGATCATATATTGAATATCTGCACACTCTACAATGAGTAAAAAGAACAGGAGTACTTGTGGCACCTTAGAGACTAACAAATTTATTTGAGCATAAGCTTTCGTGGGCTACATTCCACTTCTTCGGATGCAATGAGTGACATCTCATATTGCCAACTCACCTGGGCAGAGCTTACCTTGTAAGACGGAGCTTGGAAGAGTACCACCACCTTTCTTTCTGCCAAATCTGCTCCTTGATTAAGTTATCTTATAATTGATAGCTAGGTTTAAAGTTTCTATTTAGTTATTTTTCTGCCTTGATTTCCAGCTGAAAGACTTTGTGGTCCTGATCCTGCAATTGAACCCAAATGGGTTACCAAACTGACTTCAATGGGGCTATATGTGGACATAAGCATCTGCCTGTTTGGTTCCAGCTGCAGGAGCAGGGCCTGTATTCCTAGCAGAGTCCAGAAATAAGTTTCACTTACACATGCACTTTGGTATATGCACTGTTGTTATAGCTGTGTCAGTCCCAGGATATTACAGAGAAAAAAATCTGTGAGGTAATATATTTTATTGGACCAATTTCTATCTAATAAACTCAAAACCTTGTTTCTCTTCCCAATAAAAGTTGGTCCACCTCACCTCATCACCTTATCTCTCTCATCACTTTGGTACAGGATAAAATGGCTTGAAAGAATACCTCCCATTTCAACCCCATGCAACTATGATAATTTATTATCATGGAAAATTATGTGAAAGAGCCATTTTTAAAGTTCCTGGTTTAAAAAAAAATCCATTTGTTTTAAAAAAGTTCCTCTTTTCCTTTTGCAGTCTATTATAACCCTACACAGCTATGCTAAATAATACAATTGAACTCAGTGGCAAAATTCACATGCGGGCAAGTATTTGGCCCTTTCTTTATGTTACTTGAGACTCTCAGAATATGTTTATATTGTTTTGAGCAGGGAAATAGCCTCTTCTATTTTAGACCATGGAATTATACTTTATCAGCAAGCCCATCTGCCTTAAAGAAATGAGGTTCATTGTGGAACAAAAATGACAGGGTTGTCTAGGAATATAATAGCACTAGTCATCATCCTTCATTGCCTGTGATAGGTGTAGAAAATGAGGCATAATTTCTACTATGTTTAATTAAAAACTAGCAATAGCTTATATTTTCTCCACACAATATTGCTTATAGTATTTAGCCTATTGATATTGTATTTTCTTAGGATTTACAGAGGAGACGAGACTGTATAAACTTGTTCCACAAAAACATTCCTTTACCACTGTAAATATTCATATGAGTAAACTCCATTGTTTTCGGAAGAAAAAGGAACCAGGGGTGTGCTATACAGAGAGGATCTATTAGGGTACAGTGACTGTAAACATGCCATTATGATCTATGGTCTTAACTTTCAGGCACTTCCGCAACAATATTTGGTTAACTAAACACAACACGCATTCACAGGCAAACAATGAAGTAAAAACATTACTGTGGCACAAACTGAAAACAAAAACAAATGAAGTGTAAGCACGACACTGTTTGAAGATCTAGACTCATAATTAAAGTTTCATCTTTAACTCTTCTGTTTGTGCTGAGGATACACACAGTAGCATCACTTCCTGACACAGAGACCTCACACCCCAGAAACTCGTTGAGATACTGAGCCACGTTAAGCATTCAGAAAGAAAGTAAAAATGGAGTTTCAGCATCCCCAGGATGATTGAAGTATGTGGCCTTTGGCTTTTCAATGCTGAATGCAGCTGTGGCATGGTAAAATCCCAGTTTATCACAGTCTGTCACATCATCTTATCTCCATAGAACGCTCTTCTGCCATGCAGTTTTACCACTGTGAATCTGAATTTGTGGAAGACAATTATGTAGCATATCACCTAGATGAAAGATTTCTATCGCTGCAAGAAATGAGCGAGAGAGAAATTTGAATTATACAAGACAGTTAATGTGCATGTATCAACATTTATGTGCAGTATTTATATTTCTACAAACCACTGATTCATATGAGCATATACGTGTCTCTAATGACTCCCTCTCACGTACGTCAGAAAAAGAAAGTATCAAATGTCATAGTAATGCTTCTGGACAAGCGATGAATGCTTTATTTTTTTCTCGCAATAATTTCAAGTATGAAAAGACTGGGAATTGATGCCAATGTGTTGCAGATACCTGTAGCCAGCTCTGGATATTCTTTAAAATATGTAACATCCATTTTTAGCATGTGGCAAACACACATTGTCATGTAAAAGTATCTTATTTACTGCCAGTATCATAAGTTCCATGGTAGGAAGGGACTAAAAATTATTTGGGAAACATTTAATTGAAAAAGAAATTGCAAAGCTTCTGCTTCCACTTTCTAAGACGGAGCCTGATAAGGCCTTGATCTTGCCATGAACTCAATGTGGGGGAGATACCTGCACCCACACACAACTGCTTGCAGAATGTTTTCCAGTTTGTTTCCCTTCTACCTCCACTTGACCACTGGGACAGAGAGCTGCACATAGAAACCTCTATTTCTCTAGGAATGTGCTGAGAAGACATAGGTGCAGATGGAGTACTGCATCAGGAATGAGTTTAGAGGATCATCACTACTGGCCATTGATTATCAGTGAGACAGTAACACACCACAAAGGACCTGCAGACTGGGGGAGACCAAGTTTCAGGGGTTAAGCCCCTTTAGATCAGTTAGAACTCAGCTGATGTTAATTTGTTTATTGATTTAGCACAAATAAAAAAGTGTTAGGTAGGCATTAGAAACCAGAAATTAATGAGAGCTACAGAACTCAGGAGTTAATGAGATCTGTAGAGCAATTAGTCTGCATTACACAACAAGGTGTAGACCAGGGGTGGCCAACCTGTGGCTCCGGAGACACATGTGGCTCTTCAGAAGTTAATATGCGGCTCCTTGTATAGGCACTGACTCCGGGTCTGGAGCTACAGGCGCCAACTTTCCAATGTGCTCGGGGGTGCTCACTGCTCAACCCCTGGCTCTGCCACAGGCCCTGCTCCCACTCCACCCCTTCCCACCCCCTCCCCTGAGCCTGCCGTGCCCTCGCTCCTACCACATCCCCCTCAGAGCCTCCTGTACGTCACAAAATAGCTGTGGGTACAAATGGTAGGTGATAGGGAGGTGTGAGGAGGGAGGGGGAGGCGCTGATCAGCGGGGCTGCCGGTGGATGGGAGGCGGTGGGGGTGGGGGAGCTGACAGGGGGCTGCTGACGTATTACTGTGGCTCTTTGGCAGTGTACATTGGTAAATTCTGGCTCCTTCTCAGACTTAGGTTGGCCACCCCTGTTGTAGAGGGTACGCAGGGTCAGAACAGTATACAAGGCTTGATCTTAGAAAAAGGCTCTGAGTTCAAGTTTCCCAGATGAAAATGTATCTAGCCTAGGACCAGATTCACCTGTCTTTGAAGAGACTTGCTATTGATTTCAATGGAAGCAGGATCAGGATTTGATTGTCAAATAAATGAGGAGCTTGAGTCTAGCTGTTCATTATTTAATTCTTTGGTTTGGGGTGGGGGGGAGAAAGCTTTACTTAGAGGAAAAACAGCATAGCAAATCCCTCACAAATTTTGAGTAATATAGAGCAAAATCTAGAATACAGGATTCAACAGAAAAAAAAGTTCTTCCTTGTTATAATTAATTCCAATCTGCAGGATGAAACATAATACTTTGGAATGCTATAACACCTCCCATCTGACGATCTGACAAATATTAAGATATTCATCTCAAAACATCACTTATTTAAAAAATAAGCACATACTGTTTATTTCTTTACTTTCAGAGGGAGGGATTATATTAATATTTGGGATCCGACACCTTCTTCATCAGGCCTAGTTTAAAGTAAACTCTTGTTTTTGAATCTTTGATGTGTCTTTTCCTTAGTTCTCACATTACGGTAACGTGCCAGCTTTGTTTCTTTGTTCTCAGGTTACAGGGACAATCTATCATTTTACAAGTAGAATCCATACGCTGGTTTGAAAAAGAACATTCATCGGAGCCTAAATCACTAAACTCCACCAAGTGGCAGAGTAGAGAATGTGTAACTTGGAGAAACAAGAAGCCAGTGCTTTAGAATGACTTCATGAGTGGCTCTTTGTGCTCTTTGCACTAGGCTAACACAATGAAGCATGTGTGTCCTCTTGGTTTATTAACCAAATGATTTCCCCGCCCCCGCCCATATCTCTTGAGCATGGAAGGATGAATAATGATGGGTGAGTAATGTCAGGAAACAAAGGACAAAGGCCCTGCAATAACATTTGAGTATGCAATATGTTAAGCCCTGATCTTGCAAAGATGAATAACTTTACTCATGAGATTAGCCCCTTTGCCTATGATGCTAACTGTGTGGGTGAACTTACTCACATACGTTGTTTCCAGCTTTAGAGCATGCATTTAGGCCAAACAAGGCCATCTTATTATTTATGTGCATTGTGGTAGCACCTAAGAGCCCTAGTCATGGACCACGACCCCATTGTGCTTAGGCACTGTACACACAGAACAAGAAGATGGTCTCTGCTCCAAAGATCTTGCAGTCAAAGGCTATGTCTACACTAGGAGCTGGGGTGTGATTCCCATGCTTGTGTACACATACTTGGGCCATTTCTCAGTGAGCTAGCCTGAGTATAAATAGCCATGCAGCCGTGGTAGCACAGGTAGCGGCAACGGAGGAATGGCTGAGGCATGCCAAGAACAATCCTGCCTGAAACTGGTGGATATGTACTCTGCACAGCTCAGCCTTGCTTCCACTGCCACTACCTGTGCTGCCATAGCTCCAGTGATATTTATACTTGCACTAGCTTGATGAGAGTAGGGGAATATCACCCAGCGCATAGAGCACACGTAGCCTAAGTAATTAGGAATCTAAATTGTATTCTGAATAAAGGAAAAGTAGATCACATGCAAATAGATTACACATTTAGAGTGCTTTGCCCTGGACATTTTTTTTCCCCTTGCTGAACTTACAAACAACAGTATTTTTAGGCTCCATTATTTAAAGAGCTTCACAAATCCCAGTGAATACAAGTTTTTCCTTTACAATGAAGGCAATTTAAATGTAATTATTCCCCTTCAGTGTTTGTTTCATGCCAGCCAGAGACTAACACAAAACAAATGAAATGATTCATTTTAGTCTTACCAGCTAAAATGAGTAATGTGCAGAAAACAAACAAATGGTGAGAAGCAAAGTTAGAATTTTCAAACTTTCAGTGTTAGTAATCTGAATAAGTTATAAGTAAACAAACAAGAATTTAAAGATACTTAGCAGCGGTCCAAATATTTAGGTTTAATTTTAAATGATATTAGCAGAACTGTTTCAATGAAAAGAGAGAGAAAGAGAGAAAATCTGAATTTTGGTGCAAATCGTTTATTTGGATTTCACATTCCCCTACAGTATTTGCTACTTAGACACTGCAGCATCTGACTAATCAAGAACCAGAAAGTATAAGTGACTGGTAATTATAAACAAAAGGGAAAGTGATCAATCTATTCCCATTGTCCAAGTGGAGTATAAAAAGTTTAATTTTACAAGTTTCATATTCAATCATTGAAAAGAATATTTTAATGTTCACACCTTTTTTTGTTCTGTGTTTGTACAATGCATAACACAATGGGATCCTGGTTCATGAGTGGGGCTCCTAAATAAATTAGTAATAATCATAATCATTTATTGCTTGTAAAGCACTCTGAAGCAGAAGAGTTTATAAATGCTTGCTATCATCAGTCTGGCAGCATCCCTTTCAAAACATATGACATTCATGTTGATAGTTTCTCTCTTAATACAAGGTCAACCTAATTTTTAGTGGGTGTATTTTCCAAATAAAAGGTAAGGAGTTTGTGAGACCCTGTATCAAGGTCACATTAAAAGCAGCTGTCACAGCAGTTTTCAGAAGAGACCTACACAGATAGTTTAAAAATCAAAATAATAATAATAATAATAATAATTAAATAAAAAGGAAGTGCCAGAACGTGGGCAGTGGAAATTAACTTCAGAGGCCCCCAGACCTAATTTTTGTTCCATGATTTTAGGTTTTCAAAATAATCAAATGTAAAATGAAAGGACAGAAGTGAGTGAAAAATAAATAGATTCTAGTTTATGTGGAGCCTTTCAAAGAATAGTCATCACACAAGCATCCCCATAGCATCCTTCTCTTGAGCTATTGCCATGTGACTGTTATTTGGTGGACAGACTGCTTCCCAGTGGACCATGCTTATGATGCACAGCAATGAACACCTATCATCTTAACTGGCAACAATTGTCAATGTTAGCTGACACACCAAGGTCTGACTGTGCATAAATCCAAACTACCTTCTCAATATCTACTGTTTTAATTAGATCAGATTTGAAGCAAATTGGTCGGACAGCATGGAAGCGTCTGGACTGCTGCTGCCATACTTGGTATAAATGGACTTCCGTTGCTCAGGCCCGTCAATCTAGCACTCGTCACAAACACTAAATTTACTAAACAAAAGCCCCAAAGTCATGATTTATCTTTAAAAAGAATTTCTTGCTCCACTAGTCAGGTCTGGATGGTCAATAAGTTCATGAATATGCAACGACTTAGGGCTTGTCTACACTCTGCAGTAGTCCGCTCTAGATAAGTGTATATAAGCATATTGTGCTATAATTGGCCTGTGTGGACCCTGCTGGCACACACTAAAAGTTCCCTAGTGTACATTAGCATAGTACTGTTTGAAACAAGACTACATTAATGTGCACTAGCAACCTTTTAGCTAGGGGGAGGGGAATGGGATGGTGGAGGATTGAGGGAGCTCCACCCCTATGTAAATTCACATGCATCTGGGGGATGGGCAGAGGTGAGAGCAGGACCTGGAGCAGCTGGGGCAGCCACCCTGAGGCCTGGGATCAGACCCTGGAACAGGAGTGGGTCGCAGGG